GTTTGTTAGAAAGTCCCTGAGCATTCGTATACAAGCAGTCCAGTTTCTCGGTCTCCAGGAGCCCGCAGAGAGGTGAAGCTGTCAAGTGTGGGAGAATGTCGACCGATGGGAGGTCGGCAGTTCCTCGTTTTTTTTGATGGGTCAGTGACACCTCGTTTGCAACTTGATTCGGCCAAGGTGCGTCCCAACCTTCGTTTAGACCTACGTCAGAGTCATTTAAATCAGCAGTCAAGTTACGCTTTTGTACATTCGTCGGTATTCTTGCTGCTTCAGTTGCTTTAATATTTGAGCTGTGCAAAGATTCTGCGACCTTTAACCGAATTTCGGAAGGAAGATGTTTCCGATTTCTCCGCCATCGACCCAAAACATCCTTTGCTTGTTGCTCTGACTGAACCACAAGTTTCAGGATTCTAGGGCCGCATCCTCTTTAATTCGGTGAGAGAGGTATCCTGGTGAGCGATAGTGCCACAACATTATCCAAAGAAAGTGTTTCACGAATGAACCGCCACTGTTCTAAATCGTGCTTTCCGGTCTCTTGAACATCGTTAGAAGGATGTTCTGGCACACTATGTATGAAGATTGTGTTTAGGCGGTCTTAATTACTGTGCCCCTCTTCGGTGTTTCGTTTTGGTTGTCGCGCGCTCCAAGGGACATCAGGATAGATGCGTATCCCACAGGATCTGTGTATTAGCGCGCTTGCGGAGAGCAAAACCTTTTCTACGTCGGTGGAGGATTCTACTGTTACTCGAATAAGTCTGGGTTCTCCATAGGGTGACGAGTTCGGATGACGTGTAATTCGTAAGAAGTTTATGGGCTTGGCTTTGATACTCATCTGCGTATACAATGAGTTCCATTGGTCTTGGTCGTCTGATAACTTATCCCACAATGTGATGGCGGTAGATTCAGGAACATTTGAGCATATAACAGTCCGAGCACTGTTGTTGGATCCATTTTTGTCGATCTACAAAGTATGGTACTCATTTGTCCTGACTTGTTGACAAGTGATTGTTTGCTGTTTTTCTCTCTATTCGCGTTAACGGTGTTTACAATGAAAGAGGACGCAACGGCGGCCTCTCGGTGGACCCTTGCAGCAAACTCTGCATATGTAACCGATGTTCTGGGAGGCTTAGTCTCGACAAGAGATATTTGAGCTACAGGTACCAAGGGTTGGTGTTTGGCTGCTTCATCCTTGTTAATGCTAAATGTCAGGCCTAGTGGAATTTGCTTAACCAGACGTTTTGAATGGTGCCTGATTTTCGTTGTCGTGAGTACTGTTTGATTCTCGTAGGTACAGTCTGTTTTCGCCCGGCGTTCTACCAAAGTTGGAGGAAACAACGGAGATGGAGAGGTGGCTGAGTGCGGTTCAGGGGAAGTGGATTGTTTAGCATTCCGTTGCTTAGAAGCCGCTACGCTTCTGTGGTGCATACTCGCTTCCATTGGAGTAATCTTATTGTTTATCCCCTGTTCTGCTTCTGCGGTTAACCGGTCGCATTTCTCAGCTAGGATAAGCAAGCACTTAATGAGGTGGGTGGTGGAACTCGCAGTACAGAACCAAAATGCATCATGGAAGCTATTTCGCTCCCGTAACTGTTGTTGGGACACATTTGCACATTTCGTATGGTACCATTCCAAACAGTGCGAACAAGCCAGACCGATTTTTACTACTCGATGACATTCTCCTAAGCCGCAAATGCCTTTCGCTTGGAGCGCTTCGGTTTCGCCTTTCTGCCATTCAATTTGGTGTCGTTACCTGACCCAGTGGATTGGTTAGCGTTCTGTACTTGTACAGCTTTGAGAGCGGCGCCCATCGGTCAGGTGAGCGTGGTGATTGCAAGGTCAAATGAGCGGTCGGCGTGGTCGCGCGGTCCGTGTGATGGGTCATGTAGCCGCACTGGCCGACAAGGTCACAAGGAATGGCGAGTGACTGGAACCTGAACAGAGCGCTGAACACAGACTGACGGATCACAGATTCTTTCACAGCTGTGTTGATAAACACTGGATCGGAGTAAGCTTAGGCTTTTCGGCCTACCTCGAGAATTCCGTATCGAGTGTTGTCACACAGAAAGGCAATCGGCTCAATACGATTGAATTAAACGTTTGCGCTTAATCACAGATGCCAGTGGAAACGGTTAGTGATGGCACAGCCTCTAATCGTGGAAAATATTTCCACGTATGATGGATCACTGTGTAGGGCTTGTAAATTCGGTTCGAATGAGCGTACAGTGACAACGCTGCGCGAAGATGGAGAGAGGATAGAGGGGAATAATCCAAGTGAACCAGGAGTACGCACATCACGCGTGTGTGAGGATGACCTTGGTGTACTGCCCAATCCATATATGCCTGATGTGTACTTTTCTGCCACATGATCCGTCCGAGTTGCCGATGACTTCTACACGCGTTTTCGTGCTCACAGGTGAAGTGTAGATTCTCAGGTGCGTCATTAAAGGCTTCCATCAACTGTTCCTCGTGCGTTTCGAATTCGCGAAGCGCGAAGGTGCCATCAACATATCGCACGTACATATCAATTCTACCGACGTGCATTCCGAGTGGGCCATTTTCTAACTTCGCCATAAATATAGCAGCCAGCAACGGTCCTGAAAGAGATCCCATGGACACTCCATCAATTTGACGATACATTTCATCACTGAATGTGAACTGAACATTCAACGGGCATCAAAGTAGTACATCCTCTAGTAAACCCTACGGAAAGGTGCGTATGTGGGCAGTTGCCGAGCCATCTTGCACACGTTATCCAGTGTTTTGAACCGCGGAAAGTTTGCAAAAAACGACTGGGCATCATTCTTTTGGTAGCAAGGTTGATTTCAGATCCCTTCTCTCAAGAAAGACTGGTTAACACTGCTAGTAGTCTGAGAGCAGTATGCTGAAATGCACGGAGCACAACTAGGTAGTGGCTTGGTTGGAAAAGAAGGGAAAACGATGTTAGGGTGCGAAGCACAGACGCACCAACGCCAGCGTGGTCATGGGTATTTTTCAATGACCAAACCGTGTGTTTCCGATTCGTCGACGTCACGGTGGAGATAAACGTGTTTTCTATTTCCCAAAAGTACCGGTTATTCAATGTTAGTCCTATCCTCACCTCAAACAACTAGGTGGTTGACATGAAAAAACTGGAAGTATACCAACAGGGTTGGTGAGCCCCAATCTGCGGGTTATTCGGCAGTGAGGCTAGAATGGCTGTTGACCAAAAGACCGTATACGCGAGGAGTTAAGGATGAGCTTGTTTAGAACAAAATGACCAACTGGAAGCCATACTATAGCATTTGTCTACTTTAGATTTGCAGCTGCATCTCACTGCTGTTCGATCATGTGATCACTTTCTACGCCGAAATATATTTTGCTGGTCAGCACCTGATAATGTTCGCATTTTCCTTACTTCAGAGGGGTTCCGCCGTATGCTCTGCGTCTGTGAGCGCTAGAGCCTATTTTAGAACAAGCTACAAATCGATGTTCACTGTTACTTACGCTTAATCTGCAATCCACGTCCATCAATTGTTTTCCTCCTCATATAAGGCTTCTGGGAATGAAATTGGTTACGAAGGTACTATGGAATAATCCTCATCAGCGCACGGTGCATATGGAAGGAAATACCTGAATGGTGTCTAGAAGCGAATGGGATCGAACTTCGTCATCAGTGAAAAGCAAGTTTTTCACACTCGTGATTCTGAATGTTGCAAGTACTCAGTGGTCTGACCAGGTTTAACAAACCATGCGTCGCAGTTTTATTACTGATGGGATAGCAAGGCCGATACTGCAAGTAACAACCTAATGCATAGTAGATATAAATGACAATTCTTCGGAACGATTTCTAAGCTACCCGCATAACACAAGTGCTCAAAGTATGTTCGCTGGAGTGACCGCTCATTATCCTCGGCGTCCCAATGAGACCATTTAGACGAATTTATGTCAAAAAGACTTTTTCCTGTGCAACCTTAACTCTACCGTAGGCAGCTTTTGTTAGAGACATTGCAGAAAGCGCTCGGCAACCCCATCCGGCAAATGCTCCTCTGTAGCCAAAACGACAGAGGGCACTTCGCACATTTAATTCGTTGATATTTACAGAACTTGCACACATTCCATGTAAATATAAGTAAAGAAATGAATAAATGTATATTGTCTGTTGTACAGGAGAAACACCATCGATGGTCTGATCAATTTGTACAACTAGCAATTGTCTGCCTGTGAGAGCAATAATTGCATTCATGACTAAATTGGTGTGCTGTCTAATGGTACCACCAAGACGTCGGGGCACACTGGAATCTAGGAGCATTGTCATGTTAAGTCACGAATTCGTTTTTATGCACTCACGAGGGGTGAATGTACAGCTGTAACACACACGCGATCGAAACGGTAAAGCGAACAACACTGTAACCTTACAATGTGCTCTCGGCAGTATGCTTTCTTTTAGCAGCGAAAGCAGCCTAATAAAAGCTTAGGGGTTTGTCGGAAGCCAGTCATGCGGCGATAACAGCTTTTGTGGCGATAGCAATAGGGCGCCGATCAACCGGTCATCACATACGGCCAGGCTGTTTTATCAATCGCTAGTACAGGGATCAACTAACCTCTTCGCAGGGAACCCTTTTGTTGGCATTTTCAACTGCGAGCACGCCGACTATCGATCGATCCAAGCATGACACCTTCAGTGCGGCTGTGTTGTCTGGCTTACGTTCAGTTCTCACAGCCGAACGGCGTGCCTTTCCTTGGTCTTGCCCTGCGATGCACACAGGACAGGTTGCTTGCGGCTGTGGTGTCTGGCTAACGTTCACTTCCCACAACCGAACGGCTCGGTATGCCCTGCGATCGTTGATACACATGTCGCGCCCTGTGTCTCATCTCACCTCTGCCGGCAAAGCAATTTACGCCATTGGACAGGTAACACTCAGAGCACCTGAGTGCAGCCGCTCCTAGCTTCGGACATGATTAATAAAACACCCAGTATTTTATGAAAAGGGCGATTTTTCATGAATTATTGACCAACAAACCTGGGTAGGTTAATCGAAGAGCTTGTGAAGATATATCGTTTTTCTGCAGGAACCAGAACGGCGGGCGACTGTGGCTTAAGACGTGCTAAACTTCCTTCGACTGCCTCTGCGGATAAATCCATACTGCCCCCCAAACTTTTTCTCGGAATCTGTAGGTGCTCTGTGGATGCAATTTCTCGGTTTGCAGCAGGCGTAGCTATGCTATATCTGGGTACTTGGTGAAGACGATGTAAGGCAGGCTGAGACGCTTCCTTGCGCTTCTGATTACTGAGCAATGCATTTGGGAAATCCTGTTCTTCGTCGGACTGTGATGCTGAAGATGATACTTCGGATGATGCCTCTGAAGAGTTGTCCGTCATTGTTTTGGGAGTAACCACGCAGTGAGATGTTCTGGATACAATCATTGAAAGGAACACAGTAGCGGTAAGCTCCAAGAGAATGAGAATACTCATAAATTGAAAACAACAATAACAGGATAAACAAAATACCAGCTTGGGCTCCTAGGTAGTCTGTAGCAAAGATTGACAACTTACGCTGTACTCTCGTCCCCGTTCTGGGCAAATGGCGCGCATAATTCAGGGCCAACCAATCGCATTCGTCCAATTTGCCTGTAGTAAAGATGCGTGTGGAAGCTATTGGATGAGGTTAAATAGTCTCAAGAACATCGAAAATGATGAAGTAAAACAATGACTTATTATTGGTGGAAAAGCGAATGCACGACAAATCCTGTGGAATAACAAGCACTCCAATCGTAAGATGAGTCGCAAACTTGCTAACAAATGGGAACCAGTACTGGTGTACATATTGTGACCTTTATTAAGAAAAATCACAATTGCGCCTACTGCAATTTGATGAATAAGGTTGATGAATACCGCTTGGTCCCATTAGATGATTTCGCAGAGAGAGGAATCATGCCAATTAACATAAATGGCTTAATACATAGTCGTCCGTTTTTTGCACGAAACATGTGAGCACAGAGGTTGTCTAAGTTGAGAGGGAGTTGCACTGCTGACAAACTCGGAGACTGAAGTAATTCTGCTGACACTGCAGCAGGCTATACAGAGTGACCAGTTTTAGCTAGTGTCATATCCTTGTGACACTATGGCTAAGTTCCAGGAGGTTGCGATAAAATTAATGAAGATACTTCAGGATCTGGTAGGTCAAGATGTGGCCACTCCGTGGATGTCGATACCATCCGATGCACCCACTCAGTGGTTCTAGTCTGATTTGATACGGTAGAGGAATTAGGCACATAGCCCCACAGTTGTTCAATACTGCGGGATATCTAGTGTAGCGATATCGTATTTATCTCCAGGCTTCCAGACCTTGTTGGCTTATTCCTTATGCAACTTCATGTCTTTTCTAAGCATTTGAGTAAAAATGGCGACCAAACCACCTAAATACCATCTGCATGGAACCAAAGAATTGGTCCTTCAAAGTAACCTCCATTTAGTGATTAACGTTCGTGATAAGTGTTTTTAGCCACTATTCGGGGACTTGTGGGTACAGGATTTGGCCTACAACCCAAAGATTTTGGGTTTGAGTTTTAGTCGTGCTATGTTTACCTGAAGTGGTCGACCTTCATTTAATTCGACTTCGGCTATCAATTGGAAACTCGATGTCATTTTCCCCCCACCGGAAAGAGAAAATACCAGTTTGGGACTAGCAGAGAGGAACGGTAGATAAACCCCACGTGGAAACCTCTAGAAGGGTCAACTTACGACCAAGAAAGCAATGCCGCTATCATGCAAATTGTCCGAAGAATAGCTAGTTGACATTCATTTTTTGCGAACGACCTTAATAGCCATTCTTCATTCTTCCTATTTTCTATTTCTTGACTGTTGTTTAAACGATCCACTGTGTTAGTCTGATTGGAACACACACGCCATTGTTAATGGACGCTCATCTCCGTATCATCTCCAGCAGTGCCATTTGCAAGAACACATTCCATTAGTTTTTCTCCGCATCACTTTGCTACCTGGTTATGTTAACAGTGATTATCATTACCCTGCTATCGACGCGGTGGTAATCTGCTGGTACGCACCTTCTCAATATTCACATCCACTGAAGTCAGACATGATACCGCACTTTGAGGACAAACTTTAAGCACACGCAGGTCATTCTAGTTTGCCCAACTGAGGCAATATTGCCAAACATAAGCTACACTGGTCTCACCACATGCAAAGACATGCCACTGAATTCAAGGTGTTCCAGAGGAAGCAACCATTCTGAAAACGGGCAGTCAAATTACTCCTTAGTGGAAAATATATGGATTTTGGGTGAATGATGAAGCCCTGTAAATCAGATGACGCAGGAAAATGTACAGGAATACGGGACCAGCCAACGCGTAAAGAAAAATGAGTCAGATAATAGATGTAATCACTTACCTTTGCGATGTACCCGAAGCGGGATAGGAATAATCTGAACAGAAGTGTTAGGAACATGTGTACTCCAAATTCCTGTGGTGTTATTGTCACTGACAACTCAAGGTGGTCGTCCGTATACTTTGCGCATCCGAATGTCGTGATGAACTACATCCTGCGATTTAACTCTTCTTCATGCAACTTAGAACATGTTTGATCCAACTGAACTCGATGTCAACGCACACAAATGGACATAAAAAGTACGTGATATCCACGCAATGGGAACAAGCCAGCTATATACTGTTAAGTCTACCCAGTTCGCTGCGAGTCCGAATAAAACAATCAACTCCTCCACAAAACTTCCAGCTTGACCGGAGAAGTCAGTAATCCAGCGACCTTGAAAAAATAGTGCATTAACCACCACAAAACAACGCTGTACAATGGAGATAGACCTGGACAATGTTTCTAGGTCACCCAATGACCAAGTGCACTCGCTTAAATCCAAGTGATCTCCTCTGCTTCTGCACTGGGTGTACGGTTATTCCACTTGCCAAATGCATGGCAGTGCTGGCACAGAAGTGCGACAGACTGGCGCAAATCGGAGAGCAAGCATCCGTCGTAAGAAATGTCCTACTGGAACCAGGCGAGTCAGTGCCCTGAAGTTGATGTTTGACATCGAACACCATTTCAAAAAAGAACGTTCTGGCTGGACGTAAGAGCATCGATACACAGAGTTAGGTGCCCCTACACGAGAGGTTGCTCCTAATGATACATTTGCAGCACATGCTTCAGAAAAGCCACGCGATAAATCCAATCTTACTGAAGGACCGACAACATACGAGTCCGCCCACATGAAAGAGGCACCGTCCACCGCAGTTTCCACGGACGCCAAACCATGTGCAGTTAGTGCTGCCACTAATACTATGGGATCGAGCACACCAACTCTTGTGGTACAAAAGAAAGTACCCACACATTCTTCTAAAACGGAGAACACTAGACAACATCAAATTTCTTTAACAACTGTATGCTTCAATGTGCTTGAATCCGAGATACACTCCATCAAAGCTAAGTTGCTAAAAGACTGGAAACAGCGGGACTTTTCGTGTCAACTAATAGAGGCCCAAGCTAAGCCGGCCAATATGATGCACCTAGTCCGTCATCCAAACTCAATCCACTATGATGAACCGCGGTTGCTCCAAGTATCGCTTCAGTCAGGAAATGCTGCAGAGGCAGTTCTCTTGCCAGCCACTCGCCTCCGTACCACCTCATGTACTGTACGAATTTTTCCAGAGGTTCCTTGCAGCAAACGTCAAAAATGCAAAGTGTGGACGACTTCCGTAAACAAAAATTGCCTAAAATCGATCCTTATCCACGGTATACGAGAGCTTCAAACCGCAAGCGAGCTAGAGGCCAGAGCACATGACTGGGATGAATGGCGCTTCCTCCGTTAAATACTCACACACAAAAGCGTGACCGCTAATTCGACATCAAGGCTATCGCTATCACCTGATTAGAAAGGAATTGGTCCCAAAGTGATGGAAGTAACGTTGCAATCCAAAATTATGGCAGAAAACGTGATCGAAATGTGACACAAAATACTCAAAATGGCATCATCCGAAATACGCATAAAGACGAAGGAGACAAGGTAGCGCTGAATAAGCAGTTCACATGCACAACCGCACCACCACCGTCAAAACACCCAGCTGAAGGAGGTCAAGGGTAAAATCCACTTATGACACTGAGTACTCTACACAGCAAGCCGGAATGGCCCTAGGATCTGCGTCGGCGCTCTTAAAAAACAACCGACAGCCGACCCCACAAGTGTCTGCATGGACCATCACTCGAAATCAGTATCCGCAAACAACTTTCTTATTTCGGAGGCCTTCAGCTGTATATATACCAGTGCGTAGGGTCTTCACAGCAAGCTAACTGAACTTCTTATCCGTTAGGTCTTCACACTATGGGACATAGGCACGGCCACCGAAACGTGGCTGAACACGGAGATCACCGATGCTGAGATTGCTCCACCCGGCATGATTTCACTTCGAAGCGATCGAGCCAGTAGAAGAAGCGGAGTGCTCATGTATTACCGCACTGACATGTAGTTCGGTATCATCCACGATCCAGATACGCAAGTTGTCGATTCTCTTTGGTGCCGTCTGCACCTTAGGCGCGGGGATGTGCGTGTATTAACAATAGTTTACCACCCTCTAATGACCACTCTGGAAATGGAACACCGCCTGGCTTCTGCGATAAAGTGTGTCCTGGCGCAGTCATCCTGTCATGCCCTTCTGATGGAGACTTCAGTCTGCATGCAATCAAAGTCCCAGTGTCACTCACTGAACAATTTAAAGCGGACGTGCATGAGGTACTCCCCGGTGTACCTCTGCACAACCATGTCTCTTCTCCCACGCGAGTAAGAACGGGTGACGAACCATCAGTTTTGAACCTTGTGCTTACCGAGGAGGAACGAATGGTCGAAATAGCGAAACTCGCCGAACCGCTTGGCCTTAGCGACCACGGGATTTTGTTCTTTTGTTATATCTGCTACGCGGAGTACGACAATGAGAACCACAATGAAACCTACGCTGCTACCCATTACGACATCCCGTTCGCACTCGTTCAAGAAATCAACTAGTCTTTCCTAGCCGCGCAGCTGCCTCATGTCGTCTGGATGGTGTTTGTCACCCAATTCACCGTGTTAGTGGCAAATGCGTGAGAAAGCAAAGTTGCTCCCTCAAAGAAAACGAACTCCTATCTGAGGAGCTGGACCCGAAAATGCATAGCCCCAAGAGATTCAGCTTGGCGCACTTATAATGCCTATCCAAATAATCAGACATAGGATGTCCACACAACTCAACGAAACCACTGCGTCAAGTTGATCCGTGAGGACAAAGTCCAACATCAGCAGAACATAGCGAGCTAATACAATATTAATAATAAAACCCAGTACAGAGACGTCAACAAGCTCTGGAGAGTGCAGCGCGATATCCCAGTTCTACGTTCAACGCATGGCCCGACGATAACCATACAAGAAGCGCTAAACGTGCTTTGACAACAGTTTACTCGCACTTGTCAAAGTGAATTGCCAACTCACCCGTTCTTGACAGCTCAATTCGTTCCCATGGTTAAATTACGATTTATTCATGGCAGCAAATGTGATGAAAATGCCCCTTTCCTTGCGCGTGCACAGCTCACCCGGTGTAGCCAATTTAACACATAAAGCATTGAAGACAGCCGCTGTG